AAGAGGGTGCCTGGCCGGCTGCACACCCTACCTGAGGCCATCTGGCAGGTGACCAGGAACGGTGGGGACCCCTGAGGTTGGATCTGGAACAGTCCGCTCTGCCGCTCACCCTCCCTGAAGAGCTCCTGGCAGTCCCGGGGCAGCCCTGAAGCAGACAGAAGGAGCTGAAGGCAAGAGAGAAACCCTAGGGGTCTCCGACTGAGGCAGGCAGTGGGGAGACAAGGAGATGAGGGACAACCCTGATCTGATGACCCTTCCCCTGCATCTGCCTAAACTCTCCCATGGCTCCCTATGGCCCTGAGTGTGGTCTTAGGCAACCCTGAGGACCAGCCTCGACCCGTCCTCCTCTTCTGCGCTGTCCCTGATCTTCCTCCTGTCACAACCACCCTGCTGTGGGGCTTTGCTGGTCTTTCCCACCCTCGTTTCCAGCTTCTGGAAAGATGCCTTCTGTCACCCCCCACACCGAACCAGACCTCCTAAAATAAAGCACGGAGAGTGTTCCCCATCCCCTCCACAGAGCTGGGGGTCCCTGAGGCCAGCCACAAGAAGTTCCTTCCAAAGCTGGGCACTAGTGTTTGATGAATGAATGACTGACTGAAGGAGCCGGACCCCAGGTGGACGGCAGAAGGAATCAACTCAGGCTGCTGCACAGAGGGTGCTGACTGAGGCTCGAGGGGCTTGGGGGTCCCAGCTAGCAGAGGGCCGGGGGCAGGATGGAGAGGGCAGGCGGAAGGGAGGGGAGGAGGAACGTGGCCTTGGGCATGCTGGAGGAGCCAGCCACCCCCAGCCCTGCTGGGAAAGTGGGAGAAAGGTCAGCAGAGGGAGGGTGCCGGGGACTCTCCACGGGTGAGTCACACCGTGGGATGGGGGGGGCTTGGCCCAGAGGAGCGGCGGGGAGGACACTTCCCGGCCCCTCCGGCAGCTCCCCTTTCCCCTACTTTCCTTGGGCACGCGGCCAAGCCACCAATGTGGTCTCCATTAGCGCCAGCTGTTTCTCTCCCAGCTCTGAACTTTGCCCTGCTTGGCGGCCAGGCTGTGTCTGGGAGTCCCAAGCCCACACCCCGCACCCCCACTTCTCTCCTGCAGCCTCCCAGCCCGGACCTGTGCCTGCCTGGCCCAGGAGCCCCCACCCCAGGGCCACGGTGGTCTGGGGGCGCTGGGAGCCCCTAGGTTAAGAGTCGGCGGGTAGCGGGGAGGGGGTGCCCTCAGGACCACGGGGCAGGAAGCCAGCGCCCAGCCGCAGGGTGTGAAGCCAGGAATCCAAACTCTCACCCAGTTGGCCGTGGACGCCCCAGATGCCAGGCAGGGTGACCGGGGTGTCTGTGAACTCAGGGTGGGAACTGGGATCCCGAGTCACACATGCACATGCGCGCACACACGCTGCGCCTTGAGATTGGGGGAGTTCAGGACACACACCACGAAGGACCCAGAACTTAGGGTGCCGGAAAAGGCTGCTTCTGTGCGTGTGCGTGTGCGTGTGCGTGCGCGTGCACGAGTGCGTACACCCTGCGCATGTGCAGGTTGGATGGAGGCTTCGGGCATAACAGAGACGTGAAGATCTAAGAGCCCTGGATTTGTTAAGATTCCAGAGTGTGTGTGTATGTCGTGTGGAAGATTGGGGGGTGGGCTGCCCTAGTTCCCCCTGCTAATTCTACACCTCGAGAAATCTCCGGTGCCAAACCTGAGAACCCTCCCCAAGCATGGAGCTTCTAGCCTTCAGGATGGCTGCCCTGAGCTGCGCGCCATCTGCGGGCACCACCGAACCTCACATCCCTCCTCCTCTCCTAGTCCCTGCTCCCTCTCGGCCAGCAGGTTTGCGGGGAGGCCGGCTGCCTGGCTGAGAAGAAGGGTGGGGTGGCCTGGTGCTCCCTTCGGCCCGGGTGCCAGAGCCTGGCAAGCCAAGGGGACCGCAGTCGCGGGTTTCTCTCCTTAAGTGGACCAGGTAAGGCAGTGGGGAGCAGCCGCAGGGCAGGTGGAGGGGCACAGGGAGCCGCCGCAGAGCAGAAAGGACCGGACACTCACTGCGCAGGCGGGTGGCATTGGGAGCTAGGCCAAAAAGCCGGATCATCTTGGGGAGCCTCCTTCTTCGGGCAGGCTCCAACACCCCATTGCCGAGGTGCGTGGGAGGCCGGAGGCCAACCTGGGACAGGAGGCGAGGGCGTGGTTGGTGCCGGGCCGGCTGGCTGGGGCTGCCCGCCCTGCCCAGCTCCAGGTCCGGTCCCACAGGTCCAGCTCGGACCTCCCGCCCGACCTGGGCCAGGCCGAGGTACCTGGCTCTGCAGATTCTGGATTTTCAAGCGCTGCTTCTCCAGGTGTCGCTGCTGCTGGGCCACCTTCTGGGACAGCTGCTCGATTCTGCTGTTCTGAGCCTTGAGCTGAGCCTAGGGAGGGCGACCACTGCGGTGAGGGACAGCTGGATGCCTGCCGTCTCCCCATTCATCCGTCCTGCCCAGTGAGCATCCTCTGCGGCCACCAAAGGGTCCACACAGCGGGCCGGCCCGTCCACGCAGCCCGCAGGCGCGCGCACGGCCACCCCGGGGGGCGCACGGACCTGCAGGCCGCGGAGGGTCTCGGGCG